GTGCGAAAAAAGTACATGAAATAGTTGGTATGCGAAACAGAATATTTATATTTTATTACTATTTACTTGGTGAATATATTTTAGAATATTTATTAAATGTAACATGCGGCCTACCTAATTTGACCTTTAAATAGTCGTGCCTATTAGGTACCGGAGTCCAATTCCGATGCACTAAACTATGTTGGTTTTTTCGTTCTCTCTGGCACAAGAAATAGCTTTTACAGATTATATTAAACACAAATAAGTAAACAAACACAAATATTGTAATAATAATTTCAGACCAAGATGTTATTATTTTTCATTTATTATCTGTGTAATATGTACATCTGTGGTTACTGATGAGTATAATATAAGCACCCCAAAATAAATTATAGTTTTTTTTTTATTGAACTTGTTATTATTTTTTTGTAGGAAAACCCTCTTTTTTTCTGCNTAGTTTTTTTTTTATTGAATTTGTTATTATTTTTTTGTAGGAAAACCCTCTTTTTTTCTGCATCAAGACAGTTTGCAAGTAGCATCTAAAGCGCGGAGTGCCATGTAAGAATTGTTATTTGCAAGTTTTGTACTTTTGAAACAATTATTTTAACGTGAAAATATACTTATTTTATGTATATCGGTTAAGTTTGGGAAATTTTTAGCGATATTAGTTTTAAACTTAGTTTTAATTTATTATCATTTAATGTATCAGTGATGTAATATAGGTCATTATTTTGTAAAACTGAAAGTAAACTATTTTTGTAATGTTTGGTTTAATTGTAATTTCTTGATCTATTGTTACTAAATATAATATAGTCTTTTATTTGTAAAGCTAGAAGTAAAATATTTTTGTAATATTTGGATAATTGTAATTCCCTGAATTATTGTTACTAGACCAGGAAGTAAACATTTATAAACATTTTTAAAAATGATTGTATTATGAATTTTGTAAAAAAAAAAAAAACAAAATATTTTAGTATATAAGACGAAATGGAATGAATTGAAGGGAAAAAACCATTCGGGAGTACCAAAGATTATCTCTTGTCGCGTGGTATGTTTAAGACATTAAGTTTTCATTTTGTGTATTGTTTTATTGTGTTTTAAGTGTATCTTTATTTTGTATGTTTTACATTGTCTGATTATATTTTTAATAATGACATTTGCGTTATTATTGAACTTATAGTAATAAATATAAGTTATAACAAAATGGTTGTTACGAATTTAAATACAACAGTGATAACATTGGTTTCACAGTATTTAATTTTTGTGCTTACTTAAAAAAAATAGCAAACATATTTACCGTTAAATTCATATGGTGTGTTACATCTTGGTATATTGTAAGACTATTTGGTGGTACTGTATCAGGTGGTGGTTCATTTATGTACGTATTAATGAGTTCAAGTTCTCTATTTTTCATACACCTTATTGTTTTTAAAACTTTAAAGATAAAAAGGGCCTAAAAATAAATGAATTAATTCAGACGATGTGATGAAAAGAAACTATCTCTTTATACAGATTATCTAACTGAATTCATTAAAAAAATAAGGCAAAATATTATCAAACGCAATAGATTTGTCATTTTTATAATAAAAATATTGCAAAGCTTCAATACTTATTTTTTTAAGTACAATTATGTGAATACACAATATCTATAGTCAAAATAATTTTTATTATTAATACTAAAAATGAGTATTGTTAATGAACTTTGAACCCTAGGTTGAATATAATTAAAAAAAGAAGAAGAATAAGTAATGACATAATTTTATTTTTGCACACAACTTTCAGCATGGAGTTAGAAAGAAAATGTCTAATAATTTGGTGTATAAGTCCAACATAACATATAATAAGTACAGTGCATAGTTATTTAATATAAATGAAGTTGATACATTATTCTATTAAATTTGAATGATTAATTTAATAATTTCCACTCCAATTTTAGATTCGATGCGAAGCTGAGAAGGTATTAGTTTTACTATGATATGTTTTTTTTGGGGGTCTGTTACCACTTTTTTTTAGCTCTCACCGGCCCGTTTTCTTTCAATGATACGTCAAAAGATCACAAATCATATTTAGTCGAAGACATTACCCTTAAATATTGAAAAAATTCCCTCGTTCCCCGTAAATGGGGGAAACCTCAAAAAAAATTACAAGTTTAAAAATCGCAAATTTTCGAAATTCTTTAAATTTTTTTTTACTACCTTTTATTTGGTATACTTTTTTTATAAATCTGACACTTTACTTGCCCACAGGGGGGGATTCAAAATGACAACTTTTTCACAAAAAATTAATTTTTTCAACTTAACTTTTGAAAGTGTTCCGGGAAGTCTGACACTTTTATATATATCTTGAATTAAAGCTAATATAATATACTTTATTATGGAAAAAAAAAATTTCGGACTTTATTTTTTCTTCACGGTGAAAATGGCTACCAAATGCTATTTTTGTGTGAAAATTCTCGATTTTATAATTTACATTTTTTACTTTATAATGCTATAACTTATTGAAAACTGTATGGATCAACACAATTTTTTTATGAGAAATAATATTTTTTAATATCCCTTTTTCATTCGACATACTTTATCTTAATCAGGATATTAATAAGGAACTAGCAGATCATGTAGCTTTTGGACTAATCCACCAATTTTTTAAAATTAAACACTATCTAAAGATTTGCATCGTAGCATTTTTTTTTTTTTGATAGTGATTTAAATCACTGTCAGATATCATTATACTTGATCCAACTATGTCACGTCACCACTGTGCTGCGACCCCACTGTGCTGGGGTTTTTTTTTTATTTATTGAAAATAACTATTTTTTGAGAAAAAAAAATTCTAAGTGGCTTATTCTTCTTTTCACTCATATTTAAATTATAAAACTGCTAAATTTATTGAACTAATCATTATTTTTTTATTTCGAGTAAAAAATACCTGTTAAACGATCATTTATTCATTAATTTGTTCATTGAAACTTACTCAATATTAATTATTATCCCATAAATGGAATAAAAATATGCTTTTATTATTATTTTTTTTTTCAGTTCATTATTTGTTAGATAGAGTTTTAATCTCATTATTAATTTGTAATTTGTATATGTTGATAGTTTGTCAAGCTTCAAAAAAAGAAAAATTGTCTATGACTACCATATACTACAAGCTATGTGCTATAAAAAAAAAAAGTGCGAACTTTTATCCCAAGTTACTCTATATTTAATGTAATGAATGTAATGCAATTTTTTTATCTTACTTGAGATATACTGACAAATATTAAAAAACAAAACAATATTTCGGTGCAAATTTTATTAATAAACATATTTATATTATGAAACTGAATTCAAAATAATCTATCTGGTTATTGAAATATATAGACAATTTCGTACACACAACTAAAAAAATCACAACTAATTACTTCAGTAAATTAAATTGATTGCGTTAATAAATTCCCATCTATTACCTACTGAAGTCGAAATCTGTTTCCATCAGTGCTGCCAAATCTGTCAATAGGAAAAATGGGGCATATTTTGCTGCATTATGTTAACATGTACCAAATATGATATTTACAGTACAAGTCGGTTAAAATTTAAAAAGGTTTAAAGGGGGGTTATTAGAAAGCAGGAGTTGGAAGCTATGAAATTTTCAGGAACCCGTTTAAAAAAGGTTTCTAAAATAAAAAATTAGTAAATTCTCACTTTTTATTATTACATTTATATAATATATTTTGAATAATAAAAAAAGTTTTAAAAATATTTCAATATACTACTTATGAAAAATAATCTGTTGTGGCCTATGTTATATTGTACGACCGCTAGAATAAACGGCTCTAATCGCCTATTTTAATAGATATTTTTCAAGCTTATTATTAATATTTGAATTTTGTTTCAATGTTTTGATGACTTTTTATTTTCTTATAAACTATATTTTTATTATTTATTACAAATATATATACATACTTAAGACAATTATCTATTATAATTTATTTACCTTTGGTAAAGCGTAATATTTTTTTTATAGAGTTATACCTATGTGATAAAATAAGTAATTATTCAAAACGATGTGACCATATTTAGGGGTGGTTAAGGGGAGCAAAAATTCTTGGAGGTGAATGTCTTTTGATAGTGATGGGACAAAAAATTTCTTTGTTCTGCTCATTAATATTAATGCCCCAAGCAAAAATCTTATATACAAACCTGAATGTAACATTCAATTTTTTAACAAATAAATGCCGAAAATTTAGGTACGGGTACCTAACCTTCCCATACGCTATAACCGCTACTGGTTCGTGGTTACCCATGCATAAAACTAAATGGCTCTCAAATTTTTTAGTAGATAGATAGACGATCGGTTTGCTAAACCGAAAAACCGACCTTATTCAGATTTGGCAGAAACGATGATCTCCCGTCTGTTTAAAAATATTTATTTTTTGGGACTTTTATCTTTATTACAGGTAAAGGTAAAAGAGATATAAGAAAATTAATTCCCAACTGAGTAAAATACTTTTTATGACCATTTAATGGCAACACAATTCAACATTTTTTATCAGTGGATTAACTATAGTGATTACTAAGAAGGGAAATTGATTATTGAACATTTAAAAGTTACTAATAATTCTACCAAAAACGCATAAAATTATTAGAAAATTTTAATGATAGCAGTATGAGAAATGATACTCAAATAAACGACTATTTTAAATTGTTACAGACAATAAAGATTATAGGTTTAGATATTTTTAGGCAACAAAAAGCGCATTAACAGTTTCTATGAATTTGTAAAGTAAATTTAATTTGAAACATTTTTCATTTAAGTACTACGCACATTATGATTATTATTCTTATCATTAAGTCTAAAAGAAATTTAATATCACACATTTTATAATTCATAATATTTTTTTTTTCAGTCAAAAATAAGATGATATTTAAAAAACTTAATGCTATTAAAAAATAATATCTACAAGTTCAAAAAATAAAAAATAAAAGATAAAAAAAAAATGAAACAAGCAAACAAAAAAACTTAATAAAATATAAGTGCTTCGTATCAAATATCAATAATTATCTCTAAAAACTTCCAGATCTAATCCAATTTATTAATAATAAACAATTTTTCAATTAGTGAATTTTTGTTGATAAAGACTGACACTAAAAATGAAATACTATTAGTTGAAAATAAATATGGTATGTGTACTTTTGAAAGGCAAATACTTTTCGTGCCTATTCATAAATTTTGAAGCCGTTTTTTTCTTGCTCGCATGTCTTCTATTGTTTATTTTTTCTTTTTTGGACAACTGCGGGAACTATAAGGAGGTGACATAACGACAACGTCTGTTTATGTTGATCTGCTATTTAAAAGAAATCGCCTACTATAAACTCAATATGTTTCTCAACTCCATATATGTTTGCATTGTGCATTATCAGTCTAAATTTTTCCGGAAGTTTATCGGTCGCTATAACTGAAATTAAAATTAAACATTCAAGTTAATTTTGTAGTGCACACCAAATTACAATAATACTCAGATATATTAGAAGTAAAACGATTATCTAAGTGAAATTATACCCTCAATTATTTATAAACTGAATGAATGGAAATTTTTTTTTATTAAAACGTATTTAGAAATGTATTCAAATGTCTAGTGTTTAAAATTAAAATTATCTTAAGTGTTGAAACTTTTGTAGCCGTTTCACACACAAAACTAAAAAAATTGTTATTATTAATAATACTAATATTTTGAACGTATTAATTTATATTTATATAAAAAAAAAAATTTGCTCTATTTTCTATAAATAAATGTTTTCTATGAGTAATTTATGTTTTAAATGTTACATTATTAGCAAAAAGTGCATTGATTTTTACATAAAAATGATCTCTAAGAAAGTTTCATTGAAGGGGGTTGTTTTTTTTTTCTTAACCTAAAAAATATCCAATAAAAATGTGTAGTTCTGCTGTAGAATTGCCGATAATTACAGAATACTTAAGACTTTATCATAAAGATACTAAAATGAAGGGGGAAAGTAACATTATTTTACTTGGAGAAAGACAATATATTTACTTTTAACTGACATTTAAATGTAAATTAAATGTTATTGAAATAATTAAGTTGAAAAATTATATGATTTGAAAAAGTTGAACAAGAATTTGTTAAGTATATCTATTTTTTAAATATTTAGTTTCACTATCCTCAGATAAGACCCAGTGTTAAAGGGTGATGACCTGGTCCTCGGTCAGTGAACCGAGCTTTTTTTGAAAACCTATCATAGGTGCAAACAAGATGAAACTTGCCCCCTAAGTTAACAAATTTACTTCCCAAAAATATAAATAAATTATACATATAAAATATAGAAGATAGAGAGAAATACAATTAAAATTGTTATTTAAATAGGCACCACAAAGTAATATTAATTTTTTGGTAGTTTTATGAATTATTTATAAAATAAAGTGTATAAATTGAATAAATAAAAACCAAACTTACATGTCATTAATTTATAAAGAACAATACTCTTAATATTGGTATTAATGATACATATAATTCTTTAATTGCTAGAACATTAAAAACCAAAATACTTTTTACAAATATATTTAATATTTTCTATTTGTAAATATATATACGTCATTGAAAGTAACCATTTAATTTCAAAGGTATACTTTAAAACTTGTCTAAATATTTATACACTCTTATTTTGTGAAAGATCACAGTATTTTCATACATAAATATTTTTATTTATTGATGAATGAAACATTTAATCTANAAAAAGTGCATTGATTTTTACATAAAAATGATTTCTAAGAAAGTTTCATTGAAGGGGGTTGTTTTTTTTTCTTAACCTAAAAAATATTCAATAAAAATGTGTAGTTCTGCTGTAGAATTGCCGATAATTACAGAATACTTAAGACTTTATCATAAAGATACTAAAATGAAGGGGGGAAAGTAACATTATTTTACTTGGAGAAAGACAATATATTTTCTTTTAACTGACATTTAAATGTAAATTAAATGTTATTGAAATAATTAAGTTGAAAAATTATATGATTTGAAAAAGTTGAACAAGAATTTGTTAAGTATATCTATTTTTTAAATATTTAGTTTCACTATCCTCAGATAAGACCCAGTGTTAAAGGGTGATGACCTGGTCCTCGGTCAGTGAACCGAGCTTTTTTTGAAAACCTATCATAGGTGCAAACAAGATGAAACTTGCCCCCTAAGTTAACAAATTTACTTCCCAAAAATATAAATAAATTATACATATAAAATATAGAAGATAGAGAGAAATACAATTAAAATTGTTATTTAAATAGGCACCACAAAGTAATATTAATTTTTTGGTAGTTTTATGAATTATTTATAAAATAAAGTGTATAAATTGAATAAATAAAAACCAAACTTACATGTCATTAATTTATAAAGAACAATACTCTTAATATTGGTATTAATGATACATATAATTCTTTAATTGCTAGAACATTAAAAACCAAAATACTTTTTACAAATATATTTAATATTTTCTATTTGTAAATATATATACGTCATTGAAAGTAACCATTTAATTTCAAAGGTATACTTTAAAACTTGTCTAAATATTTATACACTCTTATTTTGTGAAAGATCACAGTATTTTCATACATAAATATTTTTATTTATTGATGAATGAAACATTTAATCTATTGAGTTTGAACTAAATAACCTATTTTAACATACTTCAGTGTAATGCTGAAATATTCAGATTTTACTAGAATTAATACCAAGTTTTAATGTTCTTTTCATCTCATTTATAATTTCTTGATAAATACAACTTTTATAAATAAGTGACGATATTTGTGATAAAACTGAAAAAGGAATNTTTTATAAATAAGTGACGATATTTGTGATAAAACTGAAAAAGGAATTTTACTAATTGATAAAATTTATAAGAGTTAATATAAAATGTTTATTTTTTTGTTGGATTATAATAAAATAAAATATTTGAGTAGTATTTTATTTGTACATTTTTTACCGTAGTAAGGTCATAATTTCATAATAATTTTTTTTTAACCGTTCATTTTTATTATTTCTAATATAAAAAAAAATGTTTATCAACACATTTATCTATCAAAATGAAAATTCAGGATGCTGCTTTTGAATGCTTTTTTTTTTGCTTTAGCGTATAATTAATTTTACTATAATATCTTCTGCGTGAACAAAATTTTATCTTATTGATTGACTTAGTATTAAGTTTATTATTATTTTTATTATTACTTCTTGTATCTGGTACAGTTTTAAAAACTATCATTCTAAGAGAAATAACTGTAATAGGGATTCATTGAAAAACTTTAATATGATTTGTTTGTGATGAAATTCTAAAAATAGTTATCATAATGAAAAATACATAAGTTTAATATATAATATTATTTTAAAAACTAATAAATGTCAAACAAATTCAGCTATGAGATAAAATTTAATTAGATGGATTGTTAATTTTCTATTAGTTTTAGAATTAATAAATTTAGGTGTACTGTAATAAAAATAATGTACAATGATAGGTATAAAAGTTAATTGAATTATTACATCCAATTTGAAATTTTAATTAAAGTTGCCTCTATTATCTCTAAAGTAAAAGACATAAGATGATATCAACATATTTTTTTTTTAATAAAAAATTTTAAATATAGATATAATGTATGGTTATGCTAATTATGATGTAATCTTTAAATATCTTGAATATGTCAAATCTTAAGTATCTTAAATTATCATGTAGTCTTTACTTTATAATATAAATTTTCTTTACAATTATTTATAATTACTTTGTCTTTATTTTATAATTTATTTTTAAGTGATATAAATGTTTAAATCAGAAATGTTTCTGATTTGAACATTCAACACATGGTTTCAGGTCAAAAAATAATAAAAATTTGTACTTATTTTTATCGTAACACAAAACAAAACACTAAGGGAAAGGTGGTAGAGTAGTGTGTACGAAGATGATGTTGAGTCTGATGCCTGGGTATTCACGAGCGTGTGATCATAGAGCAGTTACAGTGCTCGGCTGACACTCCAAATTAGCTGTGGGTGTCGAATATTGTTATAGGAAGGGAATAAGGGAATAACACCTAGGTATAAAATGCAGACGAAGTGCAAGACACAAGAACTCTGAAACGGAGAGGACTAAAGTAGGTTAAAAAAGGAAAAACAAAGACTTGACTTTATGCATTAAGCGGGACACCGACAACCGAGTACTGAGACTGATGAATAACACAAAGCACTGGGAATCGATTGACCACGATGGTCTTTTGGTTTTAAATAGTAATTCGTACGATTGCCAATTTTGCGATAAATATTAATCGTCAATTCATCAGTCTCTAGAAGCGGATGCGCTGTCTATGTTTTATTAATTTTCTACAATAATGGTAACGTGACATGTCATTAATGTCAACAAAATCATCATTAATTGATGTTATGGGGGTATCAGCCTGCAAACCAGCGACAGAAATCAAATTCACTAGCAACCTTTCCAAGGTGTGGAAAAAGTGGAAGCAAAGGTATGACACATGTTCTGGCTACATTTATCAATTATTTATCTAATAAGCAACAAGTACCTATACTATTAAATTTAATGGCGACCAAAGAATTTAATTGTATAACACATTCAATTTACCGGTAACCTCCAAAGCAGACAATGATTTGGAAAAATTTTAGAACTATTGTAATTCTCGTAAAAACATTATATACGAAAGATTTAAATTTTTCAATGCTAAGCAGAAACCATAACTAAATATTGAAAAATGCATTGTTTAATTACAAACCATAACAACTACATGTAAATTCATGGAGAAAAAAATTTGTGTCGTGATAGACTGATAATTGGCTTATCAGACATTAGAGCGATTGTTAATAAAGTAAAATCTTACATTAGTAAATGCTGCTGAATACTGTAGAGCTGCAAAACCAAGTCGAAAACAAGCTAAACAAATACGAGTAAGAAGTAGTAATAATAGAACTAACACAATTAAGCGGAGTGGACACAGTCAAATCAAAAAGGGAATGTTTATTAGTCATTTGAAATTTAGTAAAAAAAGTGGTAATAACAAAACTTTAATAATATTATTAATAATAAATGTATTAAATTTAGTTATACACACACCCCTCAAATTCATGTCCATCATAAAATAAAAGTTATGTAAAATGTAACGTCAAAAATTATTTTGCTTCAGTTTGTAAAAGCAAACTAAAACTGATACATTTTGTTAACAGTGAAAGTGATAATAATTTATTTATTCATTTGTTAATTATCAATAATAGTAATAACTCTTCGTATAATAATATTGTTTTAAATTATAAAAATTGTAAACTTTCTGTAAAGTTTAAGCTAGATTCTGATGCTAAGGTTAATATATTACCTCTACATGTAGATAATTTTCTAAAGTTAATGAATCTAAATGAGACAAAAATAATGAGCTTATACAGTGAATGAGCCCATTAGTAATTGTAAAAAAGCTTAATGAAAAGCTGAGATTTTGTCTGGACTATAAAAAGTTATATATAGTAAATCTGAGAGAGTATTACCCCATATCAAACGTAGAATAAATTTGAACAGGTCTTGAGAATAAAAAATTATCTAGTGTGATAGATGTCATAGACTTTGCCACATTTAATTAGATGAGGAAAGTTTTAAAGTTTGTACGTTTACTACACCTTTTGTATACTACTGTTTTTTGAAATTACCCTTTGGAATTTCATTAGCTCTTGAAGTCTTTCAACGTAAAACAAGTGAAGCTTTTAGTGATATAGATAGTATATTGTATTATTTCAATGATCTCATTAAAGCAAGAAAAATAGTAGAATATAATGAAATACTCTCTAACATGGTAAATAGAGCTCGGGAATTAAATATAACATTTATCAAATTTAAATTTCAATTTAAATAAAGTGTTGTCAATTATGCAGGTGATGAAATTTCATATAAAGGTGATAAAAAGCATATTGAAGCAGTTGTTAAATTAAAGTATCTAGAATATAAAAGAGTTTTTGAGATTTCTGGGACTACTAAAAAAAGTAGGAATGTTTATATCAAACCTAAGAATATTAACAGTGCCTTTGAAAAAATTAACACAAAATAATGTATAATTTGAATGGTTTAAGGAAAATTCAAAGTTGGTTGATAAACTAAAAATATTGTTATCAACAGTGCCAGTATTAAAAACTTTTGACAACAAAAAGCCAATTATAATTCAGACTGATGCCTCTAATGATGAGTTAGGTTTTATATTATTACAAACAATCATGTAATATCCTATCCGTCTCACAGTATCAATAATACTAAAAAAAAATATGCTACAATTCATAAACTGCTTGAATCCATATTTAAAAAAGTCTTACACTAAGTGACTTAGCGCCTTCAAAGAATGAGATTGCAACTTTTAAAATATGAAATTTATATTCTATACACATCAGGTAAGGATATGCATATAGCCAATGACATTATCCAGAGATTTTTTAAATGTCGAAGATAATAGTGATCCTGAGTTGGTAGTACTAGAGGTATAGAAGAGTTTAACAATATGTGAAAATAAAAAAGAACTATTTAGAGAAGAATTGATATGAGTAGTCTAAAATCAATTTGCATTAATGTTTAGTTAAATAGAAAAAGTAAAAAAAAATTTTTAGTTCTATTCATTATTGGAAAAGACCTAATATTGTTAAAAAAAAAAATAATAGTATCGAAAGTTCTGAATGAAACAATATCATTTGTAAAGGTCATTAGGAAGTAATTAAGTGCAAGGTACTTTCTATATTGATGTGGTATAGATAAAGATATGAAAAACTTGCTAGATTTAGTAGCCCAGACATATTAGCTGCTGTTCAGTAGTGTTGGATTTAAGAATTTTGGAAAAGCATGGAATTATGAAGTTGATACTAGTAGTCCAAATGATCAGCAGTCAAATGGATTAGCTGAGAAGTATGTTAGAATTTGTAAAAAAATTTTAAAAAGTGTTGAGTGTAATTATTCTTCATATATGACCCTGCTAGAATATAGAAACACTCCTATAGAAAACTTTCTCCTACAGAAGTATTAATGTCTAGAAAATTGAAGGAAAAAAAACAGTTTTGAAAAGTGTATTGAGGCCAATATATATTAATTTTAAAAAGGTGAAAAATGGCTTAATTAAATAAATAAATGAAATTCAGAAACATTATTATAATGGAAAAGTAAGAAAGAGTGATGAGTTTAGAACTAAGATGATCTAATATTTTTAAAAGGTAAAGTATGGGTAATAGAAAAAATGATTAAAAAAGCCATTTCTCCTAGATCTTATTGCTTAGTAAATTTGTATAAAAATGAGTTCAGAAGATCATGTAGGATTTTGAGGAAGAGAACCTTATTAGAATCAATATACCTTTGGTCCTTGGTAGAGAGGCCTTAAGTTAATTTCATCAACTTTTCAGGGCAGCAGTTTTAAAGTTTAAAAATTCCTATATGTTCTAATATTACATCCACAAATATTATAGAAATCATTTATGTATATTAATTAAATTCTATGTACATTTATGACTTAAAATTCTTGAATTTATAATTATTATTATAATTTTTGGTTTATTCTACGTATATAATGACTCATATGTAGGAAAATAATTAATATGTCTATTTACATCCATAATAACAGCCTTTTATTGGGTGATAGTTTAAAGCCACATTGGTCTATTTTTGTAATGCCTGTGACTAAATTATTAATTTTTTCTACTACTTTTCTTTCAAATTTTTCTTTTTCGTCCATAGTTGTCAAGAAATATGTTTATAAATACCATTAATAGTAAAAAAGTATTTATAAATAAAATGTTTTTTTTTCAATGATGCGTCAAGTCTTTTCCTTGAAACTTTTATTTTCTCTTTTGTAACTGCTATAGCAATATAGTCTGATCATCCAGTAAAACAATCAAGATTTCAATATCCACAAAAAATTGTTTTTTTTTAGTGTATCCAACCAAAATTTACAGTCAAAACAACATTTTTATAATGGCTTTTCATCAGAACAACTTAATTTACTTTTTCCTTTTATTATTATTGTTTAATTTAGTTAATAAATTTAAATAATTATATATGATTATTCTTTAAGGGCAACATTTATATACTATCAAATCTCAAGCGCAACAGCAGTTTAATACTTTTTAGCATTCTAGAAATTCAAAGTACACCAAATTCTGTGAAAAGAAAACTTACATATAATAGTAGGCCAGATTTCCTTACAAAAATATTAATTCTAGTTGTCAATCTATGTAATAATACAGGTAATATAAATTTATTTATATTTTACCGGTATATCTTATTATATGTTTTATAATTTTATTATAATATTTGTGTTGCTATTTTCATCATGATTAGTTTTGTCGTATAAAATTATTTTCTTTTTAAATGTTATCTATAACCATAGGTAAAAATAATTACTCACAATTTTTTCATTTCCATTAAAAAAAATTATCAAACTAAATTTAAGCATGGGCTTAAATTGGCTTTATCACTTTCCTTAGAATTTATCATTACAAAGTAAGATGATGGATAAATAGTGAATTATTTATTTCTATTTACATTTTATATTTTATCTGAATAAAACTAATTAGTTATATTTGTTGTTTAATTACATGTTTAAATAAGTAATTTAGTATTTTGGTGATTATACTCTTTTAATTTGGTGATAACAAAAAAATGTTATCCTACCATTTAAAAATTAAGTTTTTAAATTTTAAACCTTTTAAGTCTTTCACATATATTTAAAAAATACAGCATATAATTTTGGAATACCTTAATTTTAATCATTTTTTATTTTGTTAAAATTTTTTTTTTTTCAGTAAATCGCCAGTTAATTTTCAATTAGATGATGAAGAGTTAGATCATAATTTTAAAAGTTTAACTGATATCTCTTCTACATCTATAAAAATTTTCAAAACACTTCATTATATTAATTATAAAAGTATGTATTCATATTTTAATTAAATAAAAACATCACTTTAAATTAATTTTAATAATTTAAAGTTTTATTCCTATGTATCAATTTTGTTTACTATTAAACACTACGTACAATGTGTATGTAATAATTAAAATAATATTTTTACTTAATATGTTTGTATATCTATTAATTTTATTATTTGTGCAGAACTTGATTATAATATTTGTTTATAAAAGTGCATGATTAGTGTATTGCAAAATTATGTATTCACCCTACCCTTAAAATAATTAATAAGTATTTTAATTACTGAAATTTTGTTTATAGGTTTAAAAAAGTTATTGAAAACTATTTTAAGAAATATTGTATATTTATAAACTGATTTCTAATATATAGAAATAAATCAACATACAATATAAAAAATAAAAGGAAGAAATTTAGTACACAAACAATTTAGTATCATGTTTTTCTTTCAATGGAAAAAAGTATTTAACAACCTGTTATTTTTTCTAAAAATTCAAAAATTAATTTCCTATTTAGTTTCATGGTTTTTAATGTTTCTAGCATTAAATTTCACTTTATAATATTTAATCACTTAATTAAATTAATAGTAAATTAATTAAAATAATATATGAACCCCAGAGCTGTAAGAAACCATTTCTTAAAATAGTAATTATTTGGGGAAACAAATTTTGCTTTTTTTTATTCCTTATATAGCAAAGTTGTTAAAAATAAAATAAAGAAATCTCTTTAAAATATAAGTATATTGTTTAAAATGTCTTATTAGACCAATGCACATATTGAAATTTTGTATTTTTAAGCACATTTTAAATGTACCAACCCTATTTTAAAGTAGCTGGATATGATTTATTTAATATTATACCCAGCTTATCTTAGATTTTAGTGAAAATCTCGTGAATATTTAAACTAACAATTTTTATAGCTAAAAATTAAAACTATATTAAAAATATTATACATTTAAAATTAAAAAATATTTAAATCAAAAAACCACAAAAAAATTATTAAAAAATTGCTTGATGTCAAAAACTTACTTTTGTTAACTTACAGAAGCTGTGAAAAGTCAAGTAAAATTTAAACAAGTATCACAAAATGAAACAGAAAGTAGAATTAAGCATCATTTAGCTCAAGTTCTATCAACATAAAAGGAAATGAAAAGCTAGATATTACTACTGGCATAATTATTATCATTCATTTATTCTAATTTTTGATATCATAAATCTATAAGTTTATTTAATAGTATATAATTTATTAAATACATTTTTTTGCTATTTATTTGTTTAATATGTGTAGTACAAGTTGAATTTTTTAGCTTTGTTGCGAAGCTGAGAGGTTATTATTTTTACTATAATGTGTTTAATTTTTAATTTTTTTTTATGACTAGTACTATTTATCCTTAGCTCTCACTGGACCAATTTTGATGAACAATACGTCAAAAGGTCATAAATCATATCTAGTCAAGATATTAAAGTGTCATTAATATAATATAGCTATCGTATTCAAAAATATGACATTATTGTGTTAAAGTTCTCGATTTTATATTTTATTACATTTTAAAATACCTTGCAAAGGTTTTTGAATTAAAAAAAAATTTAACTCATTTAGATTCAATAATTCAATAATTTCAAGGAATATTAAGGACGTGGGGTCACTGTAATCTCTCCTCGTTATACTATGTAATTTTTTTTTGTGGTTCATTTATTTTCTCAGCTCTCATTTGACCAACTTTTTTTTAACATACATCATATAATCACAACTAATTTTTTTTTATGAAGTATTGCATCAGACCCTTTAATTTTTATACATATTTGTTATAGAATTGATAAAATATTTTACCTTATCATATTTTATTATTTCTCCGTAAAAATTACAACATTAAATATTAATTTCATACTATATTAATTGCTATAATAAATATTTATTTATTCATAAATTATACTTCTAAATCTAAGAACTACTAATCAAGTTATAATTAAGGCAATAGTAGTTGATATTGCTTTTGTAAACACTATCTACAGATTTTCATCAAAGCGATAATTATAATTTGAAATAGAAATTATTGCGTTAATCATCACACTTTATGTATCAATAACACCACTCGTACCAGTTATCTAAACTTATGCTGACTGTGAGTCGTGTCAATAAATACCTCGAGTAGCATAAGAACCAAAATTGGGTTCTTTATCTTCGCAAGAGAGTCTTTATTTGTATTGACAACAAGGTAACCCTCTCAAAGGTTAAACTAGGCTGGTGAACTTTGTACAAACATTATAGATTTTAATTATTTAACAATATTTTATTCTAGTAATCACTTGATTTTTCTGATTCTCTAATTAATTTACGTACTCATTATACTAAACACTAAACCTTATAGAACTCCTGTAAAATATAAGTTTACCTTCATGATGTTGGAAGCGAGGTTAAATATAATTATACTTTGACTTTTTGTGAATTTATAATATATGCTAGTCACTTCTTGCGCTTGTGGAAATATCATCATAATATTCAAATATTTAAAATACTATTTGAATACTTTTTATACAAAAGTATTTGAGTAATACTCAATTACTTTACAAAAGTATTTCAAATACTAAGAATACAATTAAAAAATAATAATAATGATTTTATTTTAACTAAGAGCAAAAGGTTCCACCTAAATAATTATCAAGAGGGTAATTTGAGTCAAATATTGAGTACTCTTAAATTAAGAGAACTCATTTATTAGTCCAGTCATTTAAGCTCTAAAATAGGTGTAAAGTGGAATTAAATCGGAAAGTTTTGAAACATTGCAAAAAGTTAGCTTATAGGCTCCTGATTTACCTAAAAAAATTCGCCATCCCTCATAGGTCCGAAAGTGTCCGCCATCTTGGATTTTAAGTGCGATTTTTCACGTTTATTAAATTATCTTTGAAAATACTAAATTTATCTCAAAAGTACTTCTATACAAAAATGTAGCTAATAAAATTTCAAATCGATATGGTTCTATACAATTTTTTCGTAGATTGAATGGATTAAGAGCAAAACTTAACCATATGTAATAAGATCATACGCGCCTCACTATAATACTATATTTATGATGTACGTAGACAGCGCGCCGCGCCCGCGTCCATTAGAAAAGACAATNCATAGACAACGCGCCGCGCCCGCGTCCATTAGAAAAGACAATATTTACCTCTTACATACATATATAATTGTATTAAAACATTACATTAAAATATTTACATCCATAATATCAATATATTATAAGCTATATTATAAATTATTAAAATATTTTTTAACATTTTCGTTTGGATGATGGACCACGTATTGTTTCATCCTCATTATTAGTAAAATCATCATCATCGGACTCTTCTTCATCAATTTGTTGTCCACAATTTAAACACGAAAGGCCAAAACATGTTTTGCACGCGGCAGAACACTTTAATCCTTGTTTTCGGCAGCCACATGCTGGTCCACAATTTTTCATGCACGCACATGTAATTTTTTCCAGTATACATTTTGGCGCTGGTTCATTCCATGAAAATATTGGTTCCAGTCCATTCTTGGTTGTTTGCCAGCCCCAATCTTTAGCATTTTTTTCTTCTCTTAGCCACGTTTGAACCTGATGATGCGTTCTATATATATACTGTTTCAAGGCTTCTTTTGACGGGGGTAAGCTTGCCAAGTTAAATTTATTTTTCGCCGTTTTTCGGGTGAATAGTAAATATCTGTATTCATCAATATTTTTTTGATTTTGCGGTGCGCCATATAATTTCAATGTATATTTTTCTCCGGCTTTAAAATGTTTTCAGATGTAGAGTTTGAACAGTTAAATACATTTACTATTTCTTGTAGTTCTGGATATTGATTGAATAGTTTGAAATGTTTTAATTTTACAGTATTATAAAAGCATGAAACAGTATCACAACCACTGATAGCGTGTAAAAATAAAATAGAAATTTTTAAGCCATTTACTTTTTGAATATCGTGTATTGAAAAAAATTTTTTTTCATTTCCTCCATTTCCTGGTTTTAAAAAAAAAAATTGATTTTCGACCGAAGCAAGAGCTATCAATAAAACTAGTAAGTCTATGTCTTGACCAACTACAACAATGGACTGATTTTGTATCCTCTTTACAGCTTCATGTACAATTGTAGTGTGAGCATCGTCATTGGCTTGTTTTATTGTATAACCATTGCCTATGAAATATGAAGACAACATTTTTATGAATCGACTTTTGTTTCTAATATTTGATAGGAATGATGTCTGTGCAACAGTTAGCACCATATTTTCGTCAAATAAAATATCAGCCGATGTATTTTTAATTCTTCGACATCGTTCCATATTTTTTGTACCGGTCGAGCTTTCACTGTAGCCGTCAAAAACTATGATTGTATTTGATCCAAAATGTTTTTTTAAGTAGGATAAGTAGAGTTGAAAAATTTGGTCGAAGGTCAAACTTAGCTGCCACAAAACTCTGTACAAAAGAAAACCGCCGTCTATTACATAAAAAGTATTTTGAAGTGTAATGTTTTCAAATTTTAAAGGTTGTATAAAATCATACAATATTGATTTTTTTGTTTTTCTCATTCCCGTTTCAGTAAATAGCGAAAGTGGGTATGGAGACAACTCATTTTAAAATAATTTTTTAGTTCTTCATTGGACGTTTTCATTAAACAAATTCTTTGGAAAATCAAAAGTGGGTCGATGGATACTATTTCATCTCTTATTTTAATCGATGAATTTAATGTAGCTATAGGTAACACTCTGTTGCTTCTCTTAAGTTTAACTGACCCATACGGTTGTCCTATAATTTTTTTCATCTCAATTAATCCAATGTTATAAGCGTCATGACAGTTAATAGTCTCATCTCCTACTACACCAGTTGTTAATGAAATTACTTTATTTAGCTCTAAAAAGGGGGGATGCGAAGAAAACCATTTAAGTAGTATATTTAAATCTTTAGTGTCTCTTGATATACTTGATAGCCTGGCGTCAACATGTTGTTCTGAGTTTTCCATGTAAACACCACAACATTTTTCTACATTTTCGCAAACATCGTGTGCAGCTGGTAATCCTTGTATCCACTTATTCAAAGTGCTGTCAGTAATACCTCGACCATGCGTGAGACCGCCAATAGTTTTCATTGAACGCATTAAGGTTTGTTCAATGGTCATATCCGACCAATTTCCTGACCAAAATTGATTTGTACGTTTTATAGTGAAATTACTTTCATTTATAAATCGTAACTGTTCATCAGCTGTCATTTTAAACTGTAAATTGGCCATATCATTTAAGTACAAATGACACGATTTTGCATACGGAAAGTGTCCACTAGCATGGAAATATGGAATCATTTTTTCAACACATTGAAGATGTAATTTCCAATTGCCCATTCTTTCAGCCATTATATACTCTTTCATTAAAGTTATCATCTCAAAATATTGCAACCAAAGTCTAGAAGTAGCGCCATTCTCTTTTAATAAATCTATTTGATTTTTAAATTGTTTACTTAATTGTACCATTACCCAACCCAACCAACGTGGAATAAAATAATATTTATATTTTACTAAATAATGTGCGGTATAAATGTATGATTATACTTCAATAAATTATAATAAAGCTTATATCGATGTGAATATTTTAATGTAATGTTTTAATACAATTATATATGTATGTAAGAGGTAAATATTGTCTTTTCTAATGGACGCGGGCGCGGCGCGCTGTCTACGTACATCATAAATATAGTATTATAGTGAGGCGCGTATGATCTTATTACATATGGTTAAGTTTTGCTCTTAATCCATTCAATCTACGAAAAAATTGTATAGAACCATATCGATTTGAAATTTTATTAGCTACATTTTTGTATAGAAGTACTTTTGAGATAAATTTAGTATTTTCAAAGATAATTTAATAAACGTGAAAAATCGCACTTAAAATCCAAGATGGCGGAAACTTCCGGACCTATGAGGGATGGCGAATTTTTTTAGGTGAATCAGGAGCCTATAACCTAACTTTTTGCAAAGTTTCAAAACTTTCCGATTTAATTCCACNTTTACGCCTTTGAATATCATTAAGTGAAGGAGTAGTGAGCCCAAGTAACACTTTTGGTGCCCTTTTATATTAAATCTATTCCATCTATATATGTAAGAAGTGTTTCGACCTTTTACTATTATCTGTATATTACTAGTTGGTGTTAGATATTACATATTATTTTACTTAAAATATATGATTTTCAAAACTAAACATTTTTTTATAGTTATTACATTAGATTTATATCAATGCATTTTAGCTTCGATGCG